TATATATATTTTTTATTCTATCTACTATCGTCACTTTTCAAGTGCCTCTCACTAGAAACAGATCGTGTGTGTGTGGGACGTTGGCATAAAAAGTGTTATATGTCTTTTTTAAGATTTGTGTTTATCCTTGTCCAAAACAAAAACGTTAACTGAAATCTGACGTTGACTGTTAATTATTATTACTTCATTATTTCTAAAATTGTAGTCTTTTGAACTCTTGTGATATCTCAGTGCGATCTTTATTTTTCAACAAAAATAAACTAAAAACAATAATCATTTCTGGCAGGGGAAACTTCAAAAGCTTTCTATCAACAAAATGAATTTTTCTGCAGTGTTTTCTATGTGTTTGATCCTTGGGGCGAATTATGCTGCGCTTGCTCAAGATAGCGATGTGAAAAATTTTACCTACAACATTGAAGACGAAGAAAAACTGTGCTTCGAGAAGCTTCTAGAAGATTCCATCGTTGACGTTGTCTACGACCAGCAACTGGGAAACGACGATGAAGTTCTCAGAAGCGAATCTTCAGCAGACACGTTCGATAAGTGTAAAGAGATTTGCTGTGAGGACGAAGATTGCAACACAATTATATTCGATCCAACTTCCGACGACAAGTGTTTTCTTCTGGACTGTTCAGATACCTGTCATTACCAGACGAGCACTCCTGGGATAACAATTGTTGTCTTGTCGCCGGATCGAAACTCCATGCCGAATCTCGTCAATTTGAATGCATCGACAACAAAAACAGCGGCTGCACCAACAACATCAACAAACACAACAAAATCAGGAGAAACGACAACAAAAAGCATTCAAGATAATGTTAATGGTGATTTGAGCAACTCCGTCAATAGCTCAGATGATCGCAATGACTTCGGAGAAACAACAAAGTTCGAGTATTCGGATACTTCTGACCCGAACGAAACATCAAAGACTTCGGAATTTTCCGAGCATAGCGAGAACGACAACGTCGGTGATAACGATAATCCAGAAAACTTGACGACTGGTTCGCAAGATTCTGCCGACATTGGTTCGGACAGTTTTTCGACTACCTTATCTGATTGGGATGACTCTGGGAACTATTCAGAGGACGACGACGAAGATGACGGTATAATTTTTGACGAAGACGATGATAACGACTCGGTGAGCACGATGTTTTCAACCGTGACTCCAAGCAGCAAACGGCAAGACGAAGAAGAAACCGAGGACAGACAAGTTTCAAAAGAGATCGTGGAACCGAGTTCCACTGCGGCTTCAACTCAAAGCATTTCGAGCTCTTTTAATCCAGAAATATCAGCTTCGTCGCTTTTGACTTCAACAGTCGCAAGTAGTGTCGAAACTCAGAGCTCAACTTCAGGAGTGACCAAAACTACGACTCAATCAAGTGTCAATTACGAGATCCAAAATACGACTTCAAAAAGTTCAGACGATTCCGAAGATTCTACGATATCATCATCCGCTGCAGCTGAATCGACGACTCAGTCAACAATCAGTAGTACCGGTTCTCAAGTCGGGAGCTCTACCGGAAGCACGGGAACTTCGAGTACTATCGGAAGCACTGGAGTTTCGAGTACTATCGGAAGCACTGGAGTTTCGAGTTCTGCAAACTCGACAACGGAAGTGACAACAAAGGCGGCTACGATGTCAGAAATTGAAGAAGATACCTTGGAAGATGATAACTCGACTTCTTTAAATGAAACCGATATTGGAAACAATTTGATTGATTCGGAGGCAAAGGCAGACGCCTCGAAGTCAGCAGGCTTGGCAACTTTCGCACTAATTTTGGGTATTTTGGTACTGATTGTGATTACGGTGTTTACCTTGAGGTTCTTCTACGAGCAGTACAAAAGGAAAGATTACGACAAAATTGATTACCTGAACACAGCAATGCAGCATGATGATTGAGGCTGATCATTTTTCTGGTCAATTGGTCACAAAAACTTTAATTTATTTTGAATTTTCAAACAATCATCTTCCCAATATGGCACGTAGCAACAAATCTACCCCTATGAGGGGAATTTTCATATTGGAAATCACTTAAAAATTGCTTATTACATCGTTTGTGTAGCGTTTACGTTAACAGATGTGAACAAATGACCAGGATTAAGTTCTTGGAACAGCCTTTGACCTCAAACCAGTTAGAATTAAGTGCCGTAATCGTAATCTACAAATTACTAAATGAACCCAATTATAGTAGTGAGATATTGTAGCCGGTTGATGTTGTATGGTAATCAATACAGTATTTTTTTCTTTCAAGTTATCTTTTATTGTCCGCATTAGCATGCACTCATTTAATAAGTCATTGCAGAAATTGTTATTTAACAATGCTTCAAAAATTTAATGAGAAAACCTTAACAAAAATTTATCGAACGATTTTTTTTTCATTTCTTTTTAAAATTTTTTATTTATCAAGACTAACCGTTTGCTGTGTTTTAAACCCAGGAACTCCAACTGCAGTAATGAAAATTTTATAATTAAATTCAATTTTTTAAAAACTTAATTTTTATTCATGTGCATTTCTGGCAGTTTTCTAAAATAAAAAGCGATTTAAATTTCTTTATATCAATAAAAATCAATATTAGGAAATATTTTCATTGCCAGACCAAACTGTATTTTTTAATAGTAATCTGATTCGGCAATAGGCATGAAACAGGTTTGTCGCAAAACCCACAACAGTGCTAGTGTTCTTTGATCTTCCTTACTGTTTTGGATTCAATGAACAAATAGCTAAAACACTTCATTGCCACACCAAGTTGATCCAAAATTGATCAGAGTCAAAACTTCGGATTCCCCAACAAAATTTCGAATATCTGGAACATTTCTAGAATCACCAATCGCATAAAAACACTTTTTATCGTAAAATTACGCAATCACGAACTTCGCAACTGTATACGGAATCCGCAAATTATAAGCGGAATCCGCAAATTGTAAGTGGAATCCGCAAACTGTAAGCGGAATCCACAATGTGTAAGCTGATTCTGCGGAATTTGCTTTTATTTCGGATTGCAATTTGCAGATTCCGCTTACATTTTTGGAATACGGAAACATTTGCTAATTCGGCTTGTCGCACAATCCGCGACACAAACAATGTGCTGACAAAATTTACGTTACACTTATTTGAGCGCGGAATACGCCAAATGTTTTAACTTTTATTCTTGAGCTCACTTGAATTCATTTACTTTTTGGAATAAGTTTACACAGCATTAACGGTATTTTACAAGTGTACACAGTGTTTTGCGGAAAATGATTAAGCCCAAAAAACACAATATTAACGTTAACGGACTTAAATGATATCAGAAGCAACTCTTAACATGCTACTTTCAGATTTTTTTTTTTTTAATTTTAAATCATTTTAAAGTTTGACAAAGTTTTACACAATTTTTCACCAAATTAATACGGTTTCCTTTCCAAAATTCATGTCAGTTGCAATTTTTTTTTGAAATTTATAATACAACACTGGTTTTACGGCAAAACTTTTATTGTTTTCACATACAGAAAAAAATATTATGCGCAAAATAATGAGATGACTTTTTAAAATAAGCGATATGTTTGGTTATTAACCTTTAACTAAATAACCTAAACCATCGCAAAAACTCAGAATTTTTTTAAAATGGGGCCCAAAGTTCATCGTTGCAATTTTTGATAATTGGAACATGATACTTAAATTTGAACTTAAATTAGTACGAAAAAAAATCTGATGTTTAATTTCAATAAAAACTGATCATCTACCGTTTTCCTAATTTTTGGCTGTTTCATAGAGAAGACCCAGTACTTGATTATATCACCTAAGCAGAAGAAGCGCAAATTAAACAGTTTTTTCATTATTCTACATTAAGTTTTGTTTGTATGATAATTTATTGTATAAGTAGGCAACTTTTTTTTCTCTTTTTGTGTTGTTCACTTCAATACTTCTGTAACAAGCAGTTAAATAGCAAATCAATAATTTAAGCATCATGACTTTTTATTGAAATTTTTGACTAGAAACAGCTCAGAGCGTGTGCAGCTCATCTCGTCAAAGTTTCATCCATTCTTACAGTTTCCGTAATACTTTTTATAAAAGTGATTAACAGCGACGCCGAAAAGAAAAAAGTTTCACAGCTCAGAAACACAACGCAAAAAAAAATTCGATTTTTTTTATAACAGTTACCATCAATTTTCAATGATGATGCTCAATTGTGTTTTGATTGATAAAAAAAAGCAACAAGTTCTCAGTAACGCGAAAAATTGGCCTGCCACAGTTTGTTTCAAGTGACTAAAAAAGCAAGTAGAGCAGCAACACAGGCATCTAGACGAGTTTTAGAAGTTTAAGCTTTTTAGTGCAAAAGTTTAGTTTAAAAATTTAGTTTTGAAATTTTCGGCAGCAGACAACAGTATTCGTTAAGTTGGGAAATGTTGATATTTTGTTCAAGATATTTTATTTTATTTGGTATTTTTTGCATTTTGCGTTTTACTCAAGTTATAGGAAATAAAAAGATCGAATTAGGATCGAAGGAATGAAGCGCTTTGACCGCTGAAAGCAGCAGTTGTTTTTATTGAGAGTAGAATCAAAATTTTAAATATCAGTGACGAGAGAACACAGTTTTTAAATAAAAATTTAGCTTTTAATTGCAATTCAGGGGAGGGGAGTTAAGCAGTAGAATCAAAATTTAAGATACGTCACGTGATAGGTCTGGTAAGATAAATTATACATCATTATTGGTTTGAAACATTTGAACAACAAGTCTAAAATTAAATTTTGAAGGCTAATAAGACCAAAAAAATAGCACATTTCAGGTGAATTCTTGATACAGTGTTTTAATTAGCTTTTTGAAGCATTCAAAAAAATTTAAAAATCAGCAAACAATTGCACAATACCAATTTTCAAAAATTTTCAAAAAAATCTAGTGTATTTTTAAATTTTCGCCTAAAAATTTTTAAGTTTTATGTCGGACACTTTTTCTAAGTCGTTAAATAGCTTCGATCTCATGCAAGAGATCAGAGAACTCTGAAAACGAACCAGAAGGTCTCATGACTATATCTCAGGTTAATGTTTAATGGTTATAAATGCGTTTTTATAACAAGCACAAACTGGTACACTAGCTTGAAAGCAATTTAGTAATATATTAAGAGTTTTGCCTTGGTACGAGCAGTCTTGTACTTCTAACAGTTCGTCGTATAAAAAGCTCAATTCATTCCTATCAATTTACTCTCTGATTGGAATTCCGAAGTCTGTGGTCTTCCATTCTGCGAACTTGGCCGCATTACAGGCCATCCAGGGTCCATACACCCATTTGAACTCTTCATTCACTCTCTCACCGCCTCCACTTGTTTCCTAAAGTCACAAAATCTCAGAAAAACTGAAAAAGTTAATAGCTTTTTGGAGAATTTAAAAAAAAATTTGAAATCAGCTAACAATTGCGCAAAACCTGGTCAAAACCATTTTGAAAAAAAGTTACGAAGAAGAAAGTGCGGTCGATATGCCCTTCAATGTGGGGTAAATTGAAAATTTTTTGAAAAAATCGAGTGTATTTTTAACTTTTCAGTTCAAAGATTTTCACTCGGGAGAAAATCTATGAATAAACATAATAGAGAGAACGTCAAAAGCAAAAGAGCGATTAAATCATACTGGTCAAATAAAATGAAATGTTCGGTAACCATCATTTTTAATTTCTTAAGCGGCACTTAAATGCTTTTGCAAACGAGATTACTCTTTTGAGGAGATTTAAAAACACAAATTTGAACGTTTTATTAAGCTTCTACCACAAAATTCACAAAACACTTTTTGAAGATCTCGTTTTCATAAATTCGTAACGTCCTAAATCCATAATTGTTGTAAATATATGGAAAAACATGACGATAACTGATTAAGTGATCAGTGGTAAGTCAAAATAGATGGCAGGTTTCTTCTCCTTCTAAGAAATAAAACGCTCCCAGTGGGAATCGAACCCGTGACCCCTGGAACTTGATCATAGATAATTAAACGCACTTTGATGTGCCTTTTGGTGGCCTCTATCTCATCCTCGCCCTCCTCCTTCATCTCTTGCCCAGACACTGTTCGGGAGATGTCGGCGAAGAAGGACGGCTCGAAGAAATAGGGCGCCGAGTATCTCTCCTCTCCAATGTCCACTACCCGGTGCATAGTGGCCTGCAACTCACCTTGAAAAATTAAACTACCTAACAGACTATTATTAAACTAACTCATGGTTATAAAAAAACTCAGTAAAACGAAACTTGGCCTTTCTACTCAACGCAGGAATTAAGCAAAAAGATACTCAAAAGGAGGATATAAATGAATTTGAATGTGCAAAAACACACAAACATCTTCTTTCAATAGATAACTAACAAACCAATAGTTTTTTGGGAAAAAGAGTTTAGATGAGGCTGTAACGTGCTGAATAAAAGCTGAGGCTGAATAAAAGCTGAAAAAAGATGAGGCTGAATAAAAGCTGAGAATACGAAACTTTTTTGATTTAGGTTAGTTTTTTGTATTCGCGCTGCACGGAAAAAAGTATGATTTTCAAAGAAAATTGTTAATGGGTATTATTTGAACACAGTGCAGTTATATTTGCAAAATAAATACGGAAAATGAAAATGACCTTCAAAAAATTATTCAATATAAGATTTTCACCAATTCTAAAATCAAATTGATGTCTGATGTCGAGAAAGCTTGTAAGTTTTTCATCATCAGGAACTTAGTTTTTACAGTTAAAACACCGTTTGAGGAGGTTTGTTACAAAGTATAAGGAACGAACTGTTGGCCAAGTATCGCAAACGTGTAAAATAATTGAAAAAGCTAAATTTGTTTGAAAACCTGTTATCAACTCTAGTCCAAATAATTGAATAATTTTTGTTCGAACGACAAACTTGGGTGAGATTTTTATTTGGCGAGAAGAATTTCGAATTTTTGTTTGTTTGTTTGACTGCTATTTTGATATTGATTGACATCCAATCATTTTAAACTCATCTCTAGAAACTAAACTATAATACACTAACAGAGAGGAGAGCTATGTTTGCGCACAAAAATTCTTAAATGTTTTTACCAGGCAATTTTCACATTTCTCTCGTGCAACACAATAATTTTTGATCTCCTTTTGATTCCTTGGGTTATTTAGCTAGTTTTAGTTGTACCTGATTTAGCGTGCAAAAAGTGCAACCTAAAACAAACAAAAACAAAAACACACCGAAAAGATACTCCCAACTTTCTGTGGTCGAATTAACTGACTCAATTGACACATAAAAAACAAAAGAGCCCAATCAATCCCTTCTCCATGTTCCATTTCAACCCGTGGCTTTCAGCCATTGTAAAATAAGCCGATTTTAAGTAGGCAAAATCAAGAGTAACAGGGAAAATACGAGCTGTTCAACTCTCATAAGAAGAAGCGCTGTTTTTGCCCTTATTGAGAACATGACAGATTTTTTCTTTTTTGTAGCAATATGTTCGGTTCCAGACAAACCGTCTGTGAGTTTGGCTAAGAGCCTTCCGATGTTCATGACGAGGCAATTCTTCCGATTGGGAACATCAACCCATCGCATTGCTCCCTCAATTTTCGGATCTCTGAGGTGCACTTGGAGTCCAGGATTCTTGAGAGGGATCCTGTTAACTTCCCTCGCCTTCTTATGATTCTAGTAGAATTGCCACCACTTGAAAGGTCTAATTAATCATTTAAGGTTTTAATTCAATTAGTAAGCACGTTAAAACTTTGTTTATGCTAAGGAGTTTATCCCCTTATGCAGTAGGGGGTGGGTGGGGGAGGTGTTGTTAACGAGATCCCTGGAACGTGCTGAGGAGCGTCATGAAACTGGTGTCTGAGTGTTGTCCTGTAGTAACAAGGGTGCCATCTTCTTCCTGGTTTTGAACAGAAAAAGTGTTAAAATTTCAGATCCCTTCAACTATCTTCACCTCGACCTTGCAAAAGGGGGATTTCTTACTAGGCACAAAAATTGTGAATGCTTAACCGTTTAGTTATTCATGTTTCAGTGAAGTAGTGAAATTGTAAAAGAGATCCAATAACTTTGTGTATCAATCTAAAGATTTACAAAACGAAATCCAAACATTTCTTGGAAGCTTTATCCCCAACCAAGCGTTGTACAATTTCAATAAAATTTGGCCTGTAGATTAATTTCAAAATATCATATCAAGTTACAGAATTTTATAAATTACTAGTTAAACTATGAAACTCATGTGCGCGAAAGGATGCAATCACAAAAACCCAATTCTTGGACTCTGGGTTCTTTCCAGTTTCCCACTCCCTCCTAAAATAAGGGGGGAAATTAAAGCTGTTCAAAAATTTTTCACGCCAAGTTGCATGCAAGAAATGCTGTAAAAGCTGTTCACATGTTCGCGCTGACACTTTTTATTGCAATTCAAGTTTAGAACATCAAAAAAGATTTTAATAAGTTCTTGTAAATCGAATTTCAGAAAAAAAACCAAAGATGGTAACTGAAAAAGAGCCAAGTTTTTGTTACCCTGGCAACGGGGGGAATTTCCTCTGACTTCAGATGAGTTCTAGTTGGGTAGTGGAGCAGTCTGAAGGTAGACATATAGTCCCCCCTGCCACAAAAGTGTTCCCAAAAATCCTCTTTCATTCCCATCCCCATAGATAGCATCTTCAGGAGTCGCTGAGAGACACTCGTCATCAAAGTGAAGAAAGTCTGCATGCCTGTCTGTAAAAAGAAACAAAGTCTTGAACCCTAAATATTCGGTTCCCAGGTTTTACCCGTCATTTTTGAGCAGAAAAAGCAATTGTTTTAAAATTTGGCTTTTGCCTCATTTTTTTTGTTCCTGTCACTTAGTAGCTATGGACCAAATATTGAGCGGAAATAAAGATTATTATTGTAAGCAATATAAACTTTCAACATTAAACTGAAATTGATACCAGAAAACTTATCAAAATAGAGAAAAACGAGTTGAAATGATAATTTATACTAATATACAGAATTTAAACCCGTTATTAGCGCGGAGATGTCAATTTTATTCACTTAGAAATCTATAATATTACTAAAAAAAAACGTTAATGTACAGAATTTTAATCAAATATCGGATTTTAAAAAGTGAGCAAAACCTTTAAAATGTCAAAATGAGTTAGGACCGATGTGGTTAACTCATAGAGTAATTTCGGATAGGGTACACCGTCTGCTCGTCACGCTATCTTATTTTCGGCCGGATAGATTCGTGCAACTCCTTAGTCTAAAACAGATCCTAATCTTACTCTTATATCTACTAGTCTCAGGGTGTTTAACTAGTCTCTGCTAGGCTCAATAGATCTATAGTATACTGGTTTATTGCGGCTGCTGAAGTTCTCTTGGAGAGGCAACTAATTTCTAGGTTAAATTCAAATCTCTCTGGTGCAAATAAGTGGGTTGTTAGTTAGATGGATTATGATTGGTTAATATTAAATACTTTACAGTGGTAAAATATCCAATTCATCCAATCATAAAATGTAGTCTAGATCAGGTTCCACCCATCCGGGTTTTACAGAGTTTTTAGAATTATCTTTCTGCAATTCAAAGGGTGGATGATGAACGTTGGTATTTGGCGAACATCATATTTTTGTCCGGTTTTTCTTGTTAAAGAAGTTCCAGGACGCTGGAGTTAGGGACATCAATCGTTGTGTCGTCTTGTGACAACGACTGTGTTCCTCAATGAAATCTATCTGATTTCATAATGGTTTGCTATGACGGGTTTTGTCTGTATTATGTAGAGAACTTGTTTTGTGTTCAACCTCGTCTGGGAATGGCGTGGAGATCGTGTGTGGAAGGGATGCCTCGTAACTCGGATCTGTACGTATACTTGAACATCGAGGTGGTCATTGGTCTAGTTCAATGAAGTCCTTTTCTGCGAAGTCAAGTCGTACTCTAAATCCTTTGAGTTGTGATTGTGGACGGCATATCGGTTGTGGTTAGCCATTCTTGTTCGAGTTTGATGGAATCATTTTGTCTTTGGATGTTCGTCTTTGTTGTTGCGTGTTGATCTATATACTGCAAGGTATGATTTACATTTTATAAAATTTTATTAGTTCGGTTTTTTAATCATGAATCTAGTTAGTTGTTTTCACAAAAGCATTTTGTTTTAGTTCGGTTATTCCGAAGAGTTACTCACCCTTGAGTACCTCTTATTAAAAATAGAAGTGTGGTCACAAAGCGTGGATGTAGCGCGATGGGTTAGGCCGGCTATAGAGCATGCTCAGGACGTCCTCTCTGGTGGGTTAGGCCAGGAGCGGGAGTATGATTTCGTGCTGTTTCTTTGAGAGATCCTGTTATGTGATAACGTTTTATGTTGGGTTTATGTTGGTCTTTCTTATGTTTCTTTGGTTGTGTCCTTTTTTCAAAAATCAAATTGTTTTTGGTATCGGTTTGTCTTGCGAATTTTTTCTGTTTTATGATTTCTTTCTTAGACTTTATAATAGTCTTCAAAAGAATAAATTATCCAGTTTTAAACTGGGTTAATCCGGTTTGGGTACCGTTGGTTTTCTTTTCTTAGTCATGCTGTTATTTTATGATTTGTGGTGTTTAGTAAGCTGCGTTGGTTAGTTTGGCTTAGTATATAATTCCTTTCCAACCGTGTTAAAGGAAAGTTTGAAACTTGTTATCGTGTGTTAGAGTTGTTGAGTGTGAAAACTTGAAACTTAAAATCTTTATTTAAACAATTCTTCGTGGGCGAGCTGTGCGAGTTTGGATAGAATTCTTGTGCGAGTGAATGAAAATATCAAAAAGTTAGTACTGCATTTTCATTTTATCAATTTATTACATAGAATTTCAAATTTACTGCTTTTTGTTGGGGGAAATTTTAAGTAATAAATTTTCATCGTAATTAAATTTACTGTTTTATGGGGAAACAATTTATAACCTAATTTACTACATTTGGTATGAATTTTATTATTTTATCTTGTGCAAAATATTAATGAAGTTTTAGAGGAATTTTAACAAGTTTATTTTTTATTTTTATTTTCTGTTTTTTGCAGATGATCGTGGTATGAAGACTAGAACTGTAAAAGAAACATGAGTAAAGAATGGTTAAATTTATTATCTAAGAATATTTTTAAATTATACTTACCTGTTTATCGTCTGGGAAAAAGCCGTGGGGGAAGATGTCGTGTATCATGTCCGATGTTGTTAGTAATTTTGCTAGTATGCGAATGATGTTTTTAGTTTGAAGCAGTGGCCAAAACAATTGAAGTGCTTTAATGGTTTTTAGTTCTTCGGTGCCTACTGCAAACTCATAAAGTGTGTTTTGAATGAGGTTATATATTTTGTGATTATATTTAGTATTGTGAATAAATTCTAATATTGGGATTTCTATAGGCTGGATAAACTCATGTGGGATAAGGAAGGGTCTGGATTCTTCGGCATTAAAGGTCTTCGTGATGGGACAAAATATATACATTTGTGTTACTGGGTCATAATTGCGGAGGATGCCGTGGAGGTTAGTATCCTTGATGCAATAGGTGAAATTAAGAAAAAATGGTGAAGTGTACCTTGAGTTCAGAAACTGAAAACGATGGTCAGGTTGTCTTGATGGAGTATGTATATTAAAATGATTTTGTATGAAGCGATAGTATGTATATGTATGAGTCTGTTAAGTGCGTAACATAATGTCGTGTGAACAGTGCAAATCGCGTTCATGTGGTGCAAGGAAGTGAAAGGTTAGAGAAAATAACTGAAAATGGTCTTGAAAATTTTCGTAAGCTTGAATATCATTTAGTGCTCAGAAATGATTTGATCATTTTTTCTATCAAAAAAATTAAGTGTGAATACATATGACGTTTTGATGAAAAATTTTTTCTGTTAGTTGTGGGTTAGCGAAGCGGTCGTCATCTAGAAATTGGTCTTGATTAGTTCGGATGATATTATGGTCGTAATATTCAATTGTAAATTCGTTAGCACGAGGTGCAGTGAATGTGTTTAGTAATTTTTTATATCCTATATAAGTAAATTGTCTAGGTGTTAGTGTTGCGGTGAGTCTATATAGCATATCTTTATTCTTTCCTATATCGTCATGAGTACTAGATAGTGACAGGCAAAGGGGATTAGTAAAATGATAATATGCTGTCCAGTGAAGTGTGGGCATTAAAACATGTTCATCTACAAAACTACGTGTGTCGTTAGTGTCGTTAGGTGTGTTTAATGTATATTGTGGGAATGAGGGTAAGGTGATTGCTAGAAAATCTTTCGTGTTTGTGTGTTGTGGATGATTAATATATTCGCAGGCTGTTCCGGGTTTGGTCGGGAATGGGTGATTCGGCAATTTTCGTTTAAAAGTGCGATAAGCTCGGTGAGTGCTATTCGATGTTTCGGTGGATGTGGATGATTGTGCTAATGATGCAGTGTAAGCTGAGGAGGGTGTCGCAGTAGGTGGGTTTGAGGCTTCTATTGTGGATGAAATTTGATGTATGGTGAGGGTGTTAGGGTGTATTAACTGTTGCTGTAGGGTGATAAAATTATCGAGTTCCTGGGAAATTTGGGGGGTATCTGGAGAATTATTAGATGATCGGTCGGAATGAAATGGAGAGTAGGTTGGGGTTACTTGCGAAGCATAAGAAGGAGTGGAAACGGATGGGAGTGAATTGTTTAGTGGGATTGGTTGAAAAGGGGGTTTTGAAAAAACTGAGGAGTTGGTTTAAAAACTATTGGATGGAGATGGTTCGGAGTCTGCAAATTCGTCAAGGGTTTCTATATTAGAGTTATTAAGTTGTGAGATGGAGTATAAAATTGAAATATCTGAGTTAGTATCCGAATTCGTGCTTGATGATATATTAATAGTTGGGAAATCGCGTGGTGGGAAAGCAAGCAAAAAGTGGGATTATTGGGATTGGAGTATGGAGGTTGGTTGGGTGGGAATTTGAGCGGTGTAGGGATCCAAGTTGTCGGCTCATCGTGGGCTAAAAAAAATGATTATTTTGAGACTGAAAAGCGGTGATATGGGGTTGTTCTATAATTTGTTCATATGTATTATCATCTTGTGAATGATGTGTCATTATATGTTGTATGGGACTTTGTGATATATTTGGTCTAAAATTTGGGTTATGTGTTATTGCTAGGTTTCGGAAATTACGTGGGACTAAGGATAATGGATGGTTATGTGGTAGGGGTGGCAACTGTGGTGCGGTAGGTGTTACTTCTATGTTATTATGTTCTTCGTCGTACGTGTTCTGTCTTGTCGCTATTTTTGTATTATATTCTTTTATTTGTGCGTCTAGAAGAATTTTGTTTATTGATGAAGAAAAATTCCAAAAAATCCTGCAAATAGTATGCGTGCTACACTTGCTTGTCTATTTACTTGTGTTTGTATAGCGCATGTGTTATAGATTCCTTTTAAAAGTGAAAAAAGAAATCCTATAATGTTAAACATTGCGTATAGGATTGTTAATTTTTCTAAGATGTAATAGGGCCATCCTAGAAAATCGAGAATTTCATTTTTTAGGGTAACAAAGCTAAAAATATTTATAGGTGAAAGATCTTGTGGTCTGTATTTTTCACCGTTTAGATATATATAGTCTTTAATGTCTTTAAAATATCCACTATAATCTTGTGTATAAATATCTGCAAATCCTGCGGTTTCGGCAAGTTTTCGTAAATTTTGATCAATTGATTGTCTTTGTATAGTGTCCATTTGTGTTAATAATTCTTGGAATTGTTGTGTTCTAATGTGGTGTTGGATATCTGAT